GAGGTCAAGAGATTGAGACCAGCCTGGCCAACATGGTGAAGCCCCGTCTCTGCTAAAAATACAACAATTAGCTGGGCATGGTGGTGCGCACCTGTAGTCTCAGCTACTTGGGAGGCTGAGACAGAAGAATTGTTCGAACCCAGGAGGCGAAGCTTTCAGTGAGCCGAGATTGCAACACTGCACTCCAGCCTGGCAACAGAGTGACACTCCATCTGAAAAAAAGAAAAGGAAAAAAAAAGAAAAACTTCAAAGTTTCTGGGAGTGAGAAGAAACAATCTGAAGGGAAAAATATTCATGATTAGGTACAAGTTTTTGAGGACTTTGAAAACGAAGTAAAGAAAACCTATTTTCTGACTGCTGACATTTTTATTTTGAAATATACACTTACTTTAGGGCAGGAAGAAAAAAACTGTATTTTACACAAAGATTGCCAACCTTATTGTACAGATCTATTTAACATTTCCATGAGGAAATGATGTGTCTTAAGTCAAATGGGCTTCTAATGTCATAACATGAAACTTCCTTTGATATAAAACTGTATCCTCTATTCTATGACATGTCCTTCAACCACAGAAGAATTTTTCCTTTAAAAAAAATCTCACAGGATATAAATAGAATATCAAGAAATACAGGTTATGAGATAGAAGGAAGCCCAAATATGCATAGAATCCTTTGCTGGACTACGAACATCTTGAGAAGATCCACACACTTTAATCTTGAATGCTGTCATCTTTTCATGATGAAAGCCTAAAATCTTAAAGCCCAAACCAAAAGATTTCAAGAAAAATTAATTTGTGAAAAAGAAAAAAAAATCCAGCTTGTCATTTGAAATAATGAATACCATAATTCAGTGCTTACATGATATGCACAAGACTTGAATATGTAAATAATACCCATTACATTTTGAATTTAACTTTTATGCTAGCTGAGCTTTCTTTTTTGAAAAAGGATGGGAAAAATGCAAGATAATCTTATTTTCTCTTTTCCACACAAGGTATAGTCCTCAACTCTGCATAGGAAACCACTACATTAACCAAGTTTCTGAAGGCCCGGTCTGCACTTTAAATCCTCTTTGAAAGCTGACTTCCAAAGGATTTAAAAGGACGTTCAGGGAGCCCCCAACTTTCCTGGATGCTCTAAGATAAGAGAATTTTTTTTATCACTTCAAGCTGAAAAACATGATATTAGTTTAATAATTAATATGTCTAATCTCAACATTGCCAAAATTTTAAATGTTTTAAAATTAGACGATAATGTTACATTTTCAGTTTTAAAAGAACACTTCTTCCCCATTCCCCAGCTCAGGCCTGTGACAAAGGAGAATCCAGCAGTTGATGAAGGAGAGAAAGCTGCTCCTTTTTCCCCACTGATGGCTTCTCCTCCTCTCCCCATCTTGCTAGCCACTAAGGTTGGAAGAGGAAGAGGAGAGATGGGAAGGGAAGCAGGGATGTTCTTCCTTGCCAGGTACCCTGAAAACTTAGTATCTGAGTTTTCTAGGCTCAGCATGTATTTACAGCTGACTGGTTATATATGATTTTCTTTTTCTTGGGGGTGGGGGCAGGTGGGTGGGTAAAGTGTTAGAGACACCCCCACTCTCTATCACAGGGCATCTTTCCTATGTAATTCTCTCCAGGGGGGAGAATGAATCTCTAGGTTCCAGTTGGTGGCTTACCCCACATTCAGCACTGAAGGTACCTCTATCTTCTCTCCTACTGAGTGTTTGTTCTTCCAGGGACCTCTTAAACTCGACCTAAGTCAGCACCCATGAGACTTCTCAATGCAGGCCGTCTTCTGGACTCCACCATCAGAACACCCAACCTGTCTCCCTGACTTAGCTGTGAGTGAGAAACTAGACCATAATGTTCCCATAAGCAACAGTCTCCACACCTTAGACTCTTGAAGTGGTATGGTTGAGATCCTTTCCCAACTATGCTTGAAAAGCACAGGCCTCTCCTACCCTGCCTCTATGGTGGTAGGGGGGATTCATTCATAGCACACCAACATTTTTCTTTAAAAATACTTTCCAACCGATTTCCAATGTATATACTCTTATCAAAGGTGAAATACTTAAGAATTGTAAAACTGATTTCCCCCCACCTCATCCTATCCCACACAGATTCATATTAAATATATATAATACACATGCATATTTATGTATATATATTTAAATCCTGTATGGTGTTCTGGCATTCATTTTGGACTGTGATATTTTCACTATCTTCAGTCTTAGGCAAAACTTCCACGTTAATATCTGATACTGATGTATCATAAGAATGTTCTAGTTCTGCCCTAAGACTTCAGAGAATGCACATATATGTCAGGTATTTGATCTGTAAAAATTATAGATCCTCAGTATAACCGAAAAGTAATACAAATGTGAGTGCTGGTCAATTCAAAATGTAAAAGAAATTAAAAGAAAAGTAATGCCTGCTAACTACCATGGTTCTGCTATTGTCGTATTAAGCAAGTCAGTATCAAAGAAAATATGCTGAGAACATATGAACTGCAGAAATTATATACTTTTATCAAATAGCCGTGGTTTTCATGCCTGTTCATTTTCTTAACACTGTATTTCCTGCTTCTTCGGAGACTACCTAGTCAATTACATGGTCTTCCTTTCACACTTACATCAAGGCCGGGAGTAAACTGCTCTAAGCACAATGCAACAGCCTGTTTCTTTTGAAGCAAATAAAATGGGGCCATGGTTTTTAATCTTTTTTTTTTTTTAATTTTGCCAGAAAAGTGACAGGATAAGAATTAGGCTAAAGAGAGAAGCATGAAGAAATCTTTTCTTCCAGAAGGCTGAACAGCACTACATTAACAATACACTTCCTGATGGGTAAGTGGTGAGTTCTTTTGTTTACTAAAATACCTCAATCAATTTTTCTTTTAATGACTTCCATCACCACTACCAACACAGCACTGAAGGACATTTCAGCCCTGAATCTTATCTTTCCTCATGTACTTTACTGTTCAGAACAAGCACACACCACAGTCATGTGATATCCCTTATTATCGTAACTGAAGCTTAACGGATATAATTAATGGATTATTCCAACCCTCTCTTTAGTTCCTCAGCTCCTTTTATTCTTAAAGAGATGAATTCTAATAGGGGCTTTATCAGATTCTAAATACAGTAGAGACATATTAGAATAATGAAATGCCCCTTATGACTCACCGTGTGGCTTATTGTTGTAATAAAATAAATGTCCATCCAGAGGAATATTGTTAGGTTTTAGCACTTCTCCCTTGATTCTCTGCTGAAGATTGGAAATTTGGTTCCAATATCCTCCCACGCCCCTACTAGCTGTGTGAGAGTGGCAAGTCACTTCTCTCGCTAATGTCATCTGCAAAATTACCCGATCAAGAAAATGTCTAGCTAGATAATTTCTTAAGTCAGCTATCCTTCTCCAAACTTGAACTTCAGAGTTTAAAAAATCAGAATGTATGGTACAATTATGGGTCATTTTAAATTTATTCCTTCACTTATCACTATTTTCTATGTTTTCTCCAATGAACATGAATTACTCTTATAGCAAAAAAAAAAAANAAAAAAAAAAAAAAAAAAGTTATTTAAAAGAGAACCAACAAGAAAAATAAAAATTAGTAAAAATATATTTGGGACCTTACACATCCCCAAGCCTCTGTCAGTTATGTGTTAAAACCCAAAACAATTTGATCACCATGCGATGTAGAGATCACCATGATACACTTAAGAAATCTAATCACAACAATCTAAATGTAGCATTGTATCAATTTTTTTTAATATTTTAATTTAATTTTATTTTTTTTTATTTTTTTATTTTTTAATTTTAATTTTTGTATCAGATTTTGAAAACACTTGTGTAGCATGTGTAGGTGAAAAAAGTGTATGAGCAAAAACAAACAAACAAAAAAGAAATTAAATACAAATCACATATTATCCCATTTCCCAGTAAGCTGACAATTTTAAAGTGCACCAGATTATGATCAGAAATCCTGGGTTCAACTACTTTTGTTCAGTCAACATTTATTGAGTTCAAGGCATCAGGGATTGAAGATGAATGAGGAGATTACAATACAATGGAAGGGACAGATATTTAAGCAACTTCATAATTAGTCGGACTGGCACACATGCTGAACAATCAAAAAGGGTACCCTGGAAAACTCTAGTTCATTCTGACTGAGGAGATCAAAGGCCTTGTATACTCCACTAAGAGGTTTGTGTTCTAGTGTGGTCTGCGCTCAGTGCTCTTCAACAAATTGTTTGGCCTCTCTGGCCATCTGTTTTCCCAGGTGAAAATTAATGAAATTGAGTTTTGAAATTTCTAATCGTATCAGCTATAAAATTCCAGGAGTCCTTGATTTTATGTTATGACAATGTTGAGGGCCCTTTATCTAAAGCTTTTTAAAACTTCTTTGTCCAGTCTCCCTGACCCCTCACTATTATTGTTACTGGAAAGGGGTCCTGATTCAGACCCGAAGAGAGGATCTCCTACAAGAAAGAATTCAGGGGGAGTCCATACAGTAAAGTGAAAGCAAGGTTATTGAGAAAGTAAAAGAATAAAAGAATGGCTATTCCACAGGCAGTGCAGCGGCTTGAGCTTCTCACCTAAGGATACTTACAGTTATTTCTTGATTATATGCTAAACAAGGGTGAATTTTTCATAAGTTTTCCGGGAAACAGGTGGGCAATTTTAGAAGCTGAGGTTTCCTCCCCTTTTTAGATCCTAGATGGTAACTTCTGGAAGTTGCCATGGTACCTGTAAATTGTCATGGCACTGACTGGAGTGTCTTTTAACATGCTGATACATTATACATAATTGGCATATGATGAGCAGCGAGGACAACTAGAGTTCACTCTCCTGGCCATCTTGGTTTCAATGGGTTTTGGCCGGCTTCTTTATTACAACCTGATTTATCAGCAAGGTCTTGTGCTGACCTCCTTTCTCATCCTATGACGTAGAATGTTTAACCTCCTGGGAATGCAGCCCAGTAGGTCTCAGCCGTTTTACCCAGCCCCTATTCAAGATGGAGTCACTCTGGTTGAAAGGCCTCTGACACTATTCTCATTGTCTCAGCTGAATCAAGTCTGAGATTATACCTCTCCCTCTGTTCCCTTCTCTCTATGGCTATTGAACTATGGAAGCACTCCATTTACAGGCAGAGAACTCTGCATTTGAGCTGGGCAGGTATGAAAAAGCTAATTTGGTTCAGTGCTTTCCCTTCACTTTCTCTTTAAGGATTGTTGACTATATGCTAGTTGGAGAAAGAAGCAAATTTGAAAACCTGTTAAATTAGCTATTTTTATAATTAACTGGTTTTGGCTATCATTCCAGTTTAAAGCCATGCAGAGAGCTCATTCTTTTTAGTAATAGTGATTTTTCAAGTTTCTGGAAATCTTACACATTAACCTGAAGCCACATGCTTTTCTGACATTCTTCAAATTCTTTAAATAGATTTGGGGGATTGGATTCAGGGCTGGCTTCTATTAGCATTACATTCTCAGCAAATAATATCCATTTAGTTTGTTTTTAGAAGAGCATTATTATTAGATCTATTCACAGGAAAACGCATGTAGATGCATTTGTGTTTGATGATCCACTCAAGACATATACAAGAACAAATTTATGTAATATAGCTATCTTCCTGTTATTTATTAAAAACATATGTGAAATTAATGTTTTAATCTATTCACCATTTAATTTAAAAATTTTTATTAAGCTCCTGCTATGTGAAAGCTAAACATCATTAAACATAATGACCCATCCTTTCATGTGAATTCATTTTTTTCTTGTGACATTAAAATGATTCAGGTTTTTAAAAAATTTCAACAAACTGCTGGGGCAAGAGACTGCTAGATGAATCCTAATGCTGAGAGGACAAGAGCTGACTAGAATGTAGAAGGGGAAAAGAAGCTAGAATGAAGTTTCTCAACTTCGACACTATTGATATTTGGGCCAGATAATTCTTGGTTGTGGGGGACTGTCCTGTGCTTTGCAGGATGTTTAACAGCATCTCTGGTCTCCACCCACTAGTTGCCAGTAGCAACCCACCCACTCATCCCACACTTGTAACAAGTAAAAACATCTCCAGACATTGCCAACTATTCCCTGGAGTCAAATTCACTCCTGGTTAAGTTAGACCCACTGAGCTAGAATGATTCTTTCTCTGATAACGTGCCAGTTCTTAGGGACTGGCAGTCCCCAGGTTTCTAAGTCTAGGACATATTCCTTTTCCTTCTTAGAGATGAAAGGAAACCCTTGCTCTTCAATCTGTATACATTGAGATTGCACAGAAAAGCAAATTCCATTCTCTTGCCTCTATTTTTGCCACCAGTGGTAATGATAATGGTTAGCCCCTTCATGAAATAGACTGAAAAGGTGGCTACTGGCCTGAAGTCAGGGTTAGAACTTAGTTCTCCTGAACAGGAATACACTTGTATTTACAGAGCTACACTGTCTGATGTAGTCTCCCTTGCCTTAGTTCAGGCTGCTACAACAAAATATTAGGTTGGTGCAAAAGTAATTGCAGTTTTTGCCCTTAAAAGTGAAGGCAAAAATTGCAAATATTTTGCACCAACCTAATATTGTAGCCTGGATGGTGTATGAACAACAGAAATTTATCATCTCACAGTTCTGGAGGCTGAAAGTCTGAGACCAAGTGCCAGCATGGTCAGGTTGAGTGAGGGCCCGCTTCCAGATGCAAGACCACCAACTTCTTACTGCATCTTCACGTGATGGAAAGAGAGTGAGGGAGCTCCCTGGGATCCCTTTCTAAAGGCACTAATCCTATTCATGAGGGCTCTACCTTCATGACACAATTACCCACAGAAGGCACCATCTCCTAATACCATCACATTAGAAGTTAAGACTTCAACGTAAGAGTTTTGGAGGGATACAAACATTCAGTCCACAATATCCCTCCTAATTAGAATGTGAGTGGTATAGGGATACCACAATACAATGTCCCCAGAAACTTAAAAATGCAAGTGCTTTGGGAGTTAAATCTAGAAGCCAATATTTTTTGTACTTAGTGGAGATATGCAAAGAAACCTTCAAGCATTGGTCCTCACATTATAGTATATATAGAAATTACCTAGTGATTTGTTGAAAATACAGATTCGTGGGGCCCACCAGCAGAGATTCTGATCTAGTAGAACTGGAGAAGACCTAAGTGTCAAGTCTGCATATGCAAGCCTAGAGCCTGAAAGTCTGAAGTTCTGCTTGCCTCGGCTGAAGTCTCCCACCCCCTGCATGCGTTCGCCATTGTCCCTGATCACCTGGTGGAGCTTCCCCAGACAAGCCCCTCACCCAACCCTGCCATCTTAACTGTTCTTATGACAATGTAAATAACTCTCACCCAACCCTGCCATCTTAACTGTTCTTATTACAATGTAAATACCTCTCACCCAACCCTGCCATTGTAACTGGACTTGTGGTCATGTATATTCCTTGTCCCCTACCCCTGACCAGTGTAACTGATCTTATTCTGCAACACCCCCGCCCCGCAAAAAAACTACCCAAACCTATAAAACCAACTCCTATCCCACTGCCCTTTGCTAATGCCTTTTTCGGCCTTAGCCCACCTGCAATCATATAAACAACGATGTTGCTCACACAAAGCCTGTTTGGAAGGTCTCTTCATTCAAAGCGTGCATTTTTTCAACACTAAGCATTTTTAATATACATCTAAATGATACAGATGCATACAGCCCATGAACTTCCATTTGAAAAATACTGCCCTGAAGATGAAAAACAGCTACGGGCCTCTGATTGGAGGCATTGCTATGTGTCAAGAAAGCATAATTCCGGCTGGGCGTGGTGGCTCATGCCTGTAATCCCAGCACTTTGGAGGGACAAATCAGGCAGATCATCTGAGGTTGGGAGTTCAAGACCAGCCTGGCCAACATGGTAAAACCCTGTCTCTACTAAAAATACAAAATTAGCCAGGTATAATGGCAGGCTTCTGTAATCCCAGCCACTCGGGTGGCTGAGGCAAGAGAATCTCTTGAACCCAGGAATCGGAGATTGCAGTGAACCAAGATCGTACCACTGCACTCCAGCCTGGGGGACAAGAGGAAGACTTCATCTCAAAAAAATAAAAAGGATAATTCCATTAGTAGCGTAGGAGGAGAGAGTCAGCCACAGTCAAGCCTGGAAAGGAGAGTCCTAGAGCAAATTGGACAGTGATAATCTAAGGTCCTGCCCAAGGACTTGCCTGTCCCTTCCTTAAGTGGGTGTCTCAGTTGTGGAAATGGATATTCTGTGTCACCTTAGCCTAATGTCATTAAACATTCAAAATGTGTAACTAGCTCTTTTTGCCTTCCTTTGGGGAATGCCCTGGGGCAGCTTTCCTCACTGTAAACTAATAAATTGATATTCTGAAGGTATATATCAGTCTTTGCACTTGGGTAATGTGAGTCCTTCCTAGAAAAAAATGGCTATTCTCAGCTTACTGACAAAGCTGGGTTTCTAAGTCTAGGGTCAGAACTTGGACTATAGTAAATTAACAAAGGTAAGACCAGTGGTGTGTTGGTAAATTTTTAACAGACAGCTCTCCAGGAGGAAAATTTTAAAAGACTGGATCTGTAGCCTTGGCCAAGCCTCAGGGTGCAATACTTGTACTCCTACTGTGGCCAATTTCAAGCTACGAGCCTGACGTCAGGCTATGTAGAGTTAGGAAGAGAAGCACACCATTTATATATGAATAGTATTGTCACCATATGGATAAAATCAATATAAATAATCCCAAGGCACAGATAGTAAAATAATTAGGAAGGGAAGAATTTGGGGATAATTAGTACCTTTGTTTTTATTTTAACTTATTTTATCTAATATTATTGTTTGTTTACATAATTTAATTTAAAATAATGACAATTTTTAACAACCAGCAAACAAAATTTCTAAAAATTTACAATTGGTTGATGTAGCCAGCTCCAGCACACCACTGGAGGCCAACGTTTATGAACTGGTTTGAGTGAGCAGATCACCTTCCCCAGATGATACCTGTGTTTCAAATGTGGATATTCTTTAGAGCTTCCATGTGGTCATAGAACAGGGTCAGTGGTACTATTTACCCCGTGCTTAAAATCATCAACCTGGTCTCATGAATCCCTTAGAGGTACAGTCCTTATATGGTATACAAAGAGCTTCCATGCGCAAAATTTCAAGTGATTTTGATAGCCACCTCAAAAATTGAGTATAATAATTATTTTCCTCCTTTTCAGATGAAGAAACTAAACTGAGAACAGCCAAATTACTTGCTCTTGTTTAAACAGCTATTTAGCAGCAGAGCAGAGAATCAGCGCAACTACCATTTATGGAAGGCCAACTGCAGACCAGAGATACTGTTCTACAGTGTCAGGTACACACCTCTTGCCTAATCCTCAAAGCAATCCACATGAAATAGATATTATTGGGCCTATTTTAAATATGAGGAAACTGAACTCAGTGAGATTATGCGACATGTTCAAGATCACGTACCTGACAAGTCTAAGTCAGGATCAGCTACCCAATGCTTGTCAAACTCTAAGGCACATCACAATCCCAGGAGAGCCTAGGAAGAGACAGATTTCAGGGCCCCACGCCTAGGGTATTCTGAGGATATCCTAGGGAGCATGGATATCCTCAAGCTCCCTGAGGATACCCATGATGCTGTTCTGGGCACCACACTTCGAATAATCTCCAGCTGCATCATGCAGCTATTCATTGCTTCCTAGGAGTCCAGACATCCTGACTCCTAGTTCTGTTCTCTGTTCGCTACAACACACCACAGTAGTTTATTCTAACTCTAAAGTAACCAGACAAAAGACAGTATTGTGTATACGTTTGCAAATAGACATATTTTCTTTTAAGCAGTTGATATAACATATGGTGATTCTGAGCTTTTGTATAAATTTGTATTATACAGAAATTTAATTGTCATGAAAACCATTAGATGAAAACATTTTAGAAACCTTTCTTCAAGGTTTATTATTATTGTTTTATTTTTTATTTTTTTGAGACAAAGTCTCACTCTGTCACCCAGGCTGGAGTGCAGTGGTGCAATCTCAGCTCACTGTAGCCTCTGCCTCCCAGATTCAAGTGATTCTCATACCTCAGCCTCCCTAGTAGCTAGGATTCGACACCAGACCCAGCTAATTTTTGTATTTTTAGTAGAGAGGGGGTTTCACCATGTTGGCCAGGCTGGTCACAAACTCCTGGCCTCAAGTAATCCACCCGCCTCAGCCTCCCAAAGTGCTGGGATTACAGGCATGAGCCACCATGTCTAGCCCAAGGTTTGTTATTAAAGTTCTAGTCATCCCTGGAAATAAATATTGTAAATCCAGCTTTGTTGTAAACAGTCCATTTAGGGAAAAAAGACATTGTGTGTGTTGTGGACACTCTGGAATCATGTATTAAATAAGCTCCCAGAACTTGCATTTTCAAATTTCAATTTTGCTTCAGGGAAAATTGACTTCTTACTCAGCTGATATTTATACTCGGAAGATCTGCATCGAAGCCATACTTAATGATAACATTAATTATAAAATTTATAAGACGTCTTTCCATGAGGCATTCAAATAACTGCAGTCATGTAATCTTTTTCTCAGTGTGGGCTCAAGATAGAGATGGAATGATCAACTCTGTCTTAGAGATGACAAGCCTGCGTTTCCGTGCAGCCCTCAGGTGTCTTGGTGAAGGTCATTCAAAGAAAGAACCAGAACCTAAGCCTTGAGAATCCCAGCTCAGGATAGCCATGGTTACATAACTGCTCTTTAATAGATGCAGTCTCTCCACTGCCGGGTCAAGGAAACCGTGGTGAGACTCAAGCCAACCAGTGTGGTTACTTGGTAACCGCTTAGGTAAAACGCTAGAAGAGAGAGGAGAATCAAGCTATTGGATAAAATTTAATGATTGCTTTGAATTACTCTCTTATTTCCCAGCACCATGGAAAAATAGGAGTTGGCATTTGTTCTTTATGGCTTGTCAAATCTGACCTGGGAGAACCTACTACCACTTCCGAAAATGGATGTGTTGTTAAAATAGCTTAAGTTTGATGTATCATATCTGCACACTAACAATTAGGAGGCAATTCATTTTCAAATAATGAGGGCTCCATGAGAACTTACTCAATTAAAATGATAACTTAATTATCTTCAATTGCCATATATGATTGGGGGAATCTATTTAAAGTTTTTACCCCACCCCCACCATTCTTCCCTTTGCCTTCCTTTTAAAATACCACATATTCTTGGTGAGTATTCATTTTGCCCTGTTCAAGGGTGATACATCAACTCACTGTATTTTCCCAGAATGTTCATTTCATGGATGAATGAAAATAGTGACGCTCATTGTATTTCAGGTGCTCTACCCCATCTAAATGATGAGCAGCTTTATGAGTAGGGGAACTTAGAATGTTTTATTGTTCAGGTCTCCACAGTTACTAGAAAGCCTGAGTAACATTCAGGGAGTTCCAAAATCTAGGCTTTACGTTGTGGGCGCCTCTATTATTAGGAGACTGGGCCAGTCCCCCAGGCCCAGGAACAGCCTGGAGGCAAATGCATAGGGACAGCATTGTGTCTGAATTTAAAAGGAGGAGGCAGAGTCCTCAGGCTGTGGTGAAAACACCCCTTAATTCTGGTCACTCTTAAAGATATTCCACTAATACTGACTGGTACAGGCTTCCATCATATTTAATGTGTGCCATGTGCCTAGCACAGTCCCTGGTCCATGATAAGCACCCAAATATTAGTCATCATTTTGCAGTCTTTTAAGGCCATGCATCTTTTCCCACTTCTAATCAAGTTTCCACTGCTGCAACATAGACATCCTCAGGTTTCTACCCTGCTCAAAAATGTTCAATGACTATTAGTTCCACCAGTGCTTCTCAAAGTGTATCAGAATCGCCCGGGTTGCTTTATGTACAGTTGCAGATTTTCAGACTTCATGCCAAACCTACTGTATTAGACCCTGGAGGAGCTGGGCCTGGGAATTTGAATTTATTAACAAGCTCCACAAGTGTTTCTTACATACGCTACCAATAATTTGAGATTCCCTGACATGTTGTATAGTATGCATATACCTTTACATGGCATTTATTACCCCTTAAAATCTGGTCCCAACCATCCATCCAGTCTTATTGCCTGCCATATGGCATGATTAACACTCCCTTATCGGGAAAAATTGTGAAAGACTTTGAAATGAGAAAAAAAAATCCTGGATGTTGTATCTATCATACCATTCTGGATTATCTCTGCCTTTCATTATATTTGAGTTATTTTATAATTCTGTCAGTTTTAGAAAATTAATAATGATGCAAACAATTCCTTCTGTAGAAAGCAACTGAATCATGTCATGTGAAATGCAACTGATTCTTTCTATGTGGATAAATCAGTTTGCATCTATTTTTAAATTCATTTCAGCATTCCTCATTGCCCATATATCTGTGTGGATTTCTTTGAATTATCCTTTGAATGAGCTGTAATATCTTAGAGTTTCCCTTATTAATAAATTAAATAAGATCTTTGACATCTGTTCTTTTTATATTTGCATGAGATTATAAGTTTACCTTTAAAAAATTATCCTTTCACATCCTGAACACACTGTAGTAGCTTCAGACTCTGCTGTGGTCATTTCCCTTCCCTCCTTGCCATGCCCTCCCCTGTTTCCCTGACCACCAGTTTCCCTGGTGAAGTCCCTCTAACCCTTCAAGGTCCCACAAAGTTGCCAAGTGCCAGCTTCGCTGTCAAACCGTTCTTCATGTTCAACCCATTCATTCTTCCATCCTCATCTGCCCAACTCAGACTCAGTACCTCCCAACGCCTGACTCACACCTTCTTAGAGGATTTCTCACACCAGATTCCTGTAGGAGTTGCTTTAAAAACTGAGAATGCAAGTATGGTTATTTCTCTACTTGACCTCTCTGCATTTCAGTTTCCTTATCTGTAAAATGGACATAATAACAGCACTGACTTAGTGGGCTATTGTTAAGATTAAATGAGTTAATCCATGTAAAACACTTAGTGTATTTCCTGGTGTATAGTAAGTGTTGAATAAATGTTAGCTATCAATAATTTTGAATAGATATATACTAATATATATAAAAATATATAAATATAAATATAACATAAATATATATTATATATTATATATATTATATATTACATATTATATGTAATATATATTTATATATATAAATTAACATATATTATATATGATATGTTCTATATAATATATAAAAATATATATAGCATAATATAAAATATATATTTATATGTTATAGCTCTATATATTTTTATATAAGTATATATATAAGTGCATATATAGAGATGAAGAGAGACTTCATTTAAATTTCCTCTAATTTGTATATATTATATATATATAGTAATATATATATATATATTGTAATATATATATATTTAGATGAATTCTCATTCTGTTACCCAGGCTGGAGTGCAGTGGCGCGATCTTGGCTCACTGCAACCTCCACCTCCCAGGTTCAAGCGATTCTCCTGACTCAGCCTCCTGAGTACCTGGGATTACAGGCACATACCACCACACCTGGCTAATTTTTGTACTTTTTGTAGAGATGGGGTTTCACCATGTTGTACAGGCTGGTCTCAAATGCCTGACCTCATGATCTACCCACCTTGGCCTTCCAAAGTGCTGGGATTACAGGCATGAGCCACTGTGCCCAGCTGTATTTTTTCTAATTAATAGTTTGATAATCCACATGTCTCAGGTACACAGACTACTGTCTACAAAAACTGTCTTCCTTAGATTACATTTCCTGGCCCTGCTTCTAGCTAGGTTGGATCAGAAATGCCCTATGTGCATCTCAAGTCTGGTCCATAAAAATTCCCACATGTGCTCCTCCAAACTATTGCCTATTTTTTTAAGGCTGCAATGGAGACTTCAATGACTAGAGTAACCTTGGAAGCCAAAGATCAAAAATACAAATTTTCTATTAGCCTAGGTTCCTGAATGACCATCTAAAGCAGGCATTCCTCCATGTCCCTCATCCCCAAACAACATCCCAGAGAGGGCCACCACTTCCCTCAGATGTCACAGACCCTTTCCTGATATCTTTTTAGTAGTCTGATCATGCCTTTTCTAGTCTAGGATGAAGGCACAAATGTAATGGTTCTCTATAAGAGGAGAGCCCTCTCTGTTGGGGCTAACCTTAGCCAAGGATGTACTGCAGGTGTTTCCAAGATTCCAGTTATTAGTAGTTAGATCTTGCAGGTTATGTAGAGTTAGGGGCATATAAGCTCCCTTAATCTGGGCCACTTTTACCTGGCTACCCTTTACCCAAAGAGTGGGGCTTTTTGAATCCCAGAAAGCATGAGGGCCTCTTTATACTTTTCTTGAGGCCTGATCATC